GCCGCTGCTCAGGGACTGGCTGGGCATCGGTCGGCGGGTGGTGAGCAACTGCATTGTGTGTGACTTGTTTTGTATATTCTTTTATCATTATTATTATTACTATTATTATTTTCCCTTCCTTTTCTGTCCTATTCAACTGTCTTTATCTCAACCCACGAGTTTTACCTTTTTTTCCGATCCTCTCCCCCATCCCACCGGGGGGGAGTGAGCGCGCGGCTCTGTGGCGTTTAGCTGCCGGCTGGGGTTAAACCACGACAGTCCTTTTTGGCGCCCAACGCGGGGCTCAAAGGGTTGAGATAACAACAGATCTGACCGGAGTGTGCTAAAACAAATTTGTTATAGGCATTCATTATATTAAGTGAATAGTCGCCGGTCGCAGTGCGGATGTATTTGCTCTCTGAATTGTGTTATGTCACACCTTACTGGCTGTATACGTTCCCTGTTGTGCTGTTTGTCACCTCTGGGGGCTGGATCAAGGACATCATTTTGCCGCACTGTGTAACACTGGCTTATGATGTGATAAAATTACTGGTCACAAGACTAATCTGGTGTTTGCACTCAGCATTGCTGACACCTCTGTATGTCGGGAGCCATCTCTTGGAAACTATTAATAATTACACTCTTCACCTTTTCTCCTCGGAGAGCCAATTTATGGGGGAGACAAGGGGAGACACTTCCCCCCGCTCCTTCACCTTCCCTTTCTCCTCCAGGCTAGTTACAACAGCTCTTGAGAATTTTGAATATCCTTGGGATGTTCAAGCCAGCATGCTCCTATTGCTGTCTCCTGAATGTGGTTCAGATCTTGTTTAAGGTTAAACAACTATTTAAGAATACCGCCCAGAGATGGGCCCCGAGGCTGGATAGCTATGAGTGGCAGGGTGTGGGGGATAGGATGGGCAAGTACCTAGGACAGTCGGCACCCCCAGTGTTTCGGAACTTCACCCCTGAACAAGTGGAGAATCCTGAAAAACTAGTAAAGTATTTGGAAAAAGTATTTGGAAAGGCAACTCCAGAGAGACACGGATCACTGCACCGTGCTGGGGCCTGGCCCATGCCGACCGAGCCCTGTTCAGCACCATTCAGTACCCTCAAGGGCAAGCGAAGGCCTCTGGATCTGACGACAAAACGACAGGCCCTGCGGCCACTCCAACCCTCGCGACAGGTCCTGTGGCCACTCCACCCCCAGTGACAAGGCACTGCGGCTGAACCAGAGAACCGGTATCAGCCGCCCCTATACACAAGAAGAAATATTGGAAGCGAAAGTCAGCTCGTTTAGTAAGGGAAGAAACTCCTAAGAAGGGGAAGGAGGAAGGAGTGGGCGAGACAGGCTACTCCAAAGCAGGGCCATCATGAGGAGGAGGAAGAGGAAGAACTCATAAACGAGGCAGTAACCACCTGATCCCTGCCCCTGAGTGAGCTGCCAGACATGTGAAAAGATTTCAGCCATTGTCCAGGTGAGCACATTGTCACCTGGCTGCTCTGAGGCTGGGATAATGGGGCCAGTAGCCTGGAATTAGAGGGTAGGGAAGCCAAGCAGCTGGGATCCCTTTC